TTTTTTTACTATGACTTTGATATGGGCATTTTGATGGGCGTCTGAAGTTGAAATGTGAAAGTGCATCAACACTCCCTAGCATTTGAAGTGGATTGGAAAAAGCGTACATATTCATGTATATAGTGTGGCCCATGACCTCGATTGGNTACATATATATGTACATACAATACATTTACTAAATACAGCATTTATATATGTACAAATGTATTTATGATAGCGACCCTTGATACCGGCCACCTTATTCTCCTTACAAGTTATTAAATTCATGTAGGTTTATTAATTTATTTCCGTATCTTATTTTTTTATTATGACTTTGATATGGGTATTTTGATGGGCGTCTGAAGTTGAAATGTGAAAGTGCATCAACACTCCCTAGCATTTGAAGTGGATTGGAAAAAGCGTACATATTCATGTATATAGTGTGGCCCATGACCTCGATTGGATAAGATAGTTTTCATTGCCGTACTCGTGCTGGCAACATTCCGTAGGTGCACTTTATATGTATATCTATGTGTACATATGTACGTTTTTTACACCCATATATACATATTTATATCTACATACATATGCACTTGTCATTGCTTGTTGTGGGGGAGTGTAGGTTCCAGCCCAGAATNTGCACGCATATATACATATTTGTATCTACATACATATGCACTTGTCATTGCTTGTTGTGGGGGAGTGTAGGTTCCAGCCCAGAATTCGTTTTACATTCCTAAGTAATTTATTCAAATCGTGCCATCAGCAAATTCCTAAAGAGGTTGTGCCCTTATTAGATATTACTACCTCAAATAGGAACTAATATACATAAATCCTAATATTTTCGAAGAAAACTAAAGATACTTTTCAAAAGTATAATACGTGCCTATGTAACTTATTTTACTTTACTAAATATTATATTTATTCTTTCTTAGTTTGACGCAGAATTTCGTCGTTGGAGCTNGAATTCCTAAAGAGGTTGTGCCCTTATTAGATATTACTACCTCAAATAGGAACTAATATACATAAATCCTAATATTTTCGAAGAAAACGAAAGATACTTTTCAAAAGTATAATACGTGCCTATGTAACGTATTTTACTTTATTAATTATTATATTTATTCTTTCTTAGTTTGACGCAGAATTTCGTCGTTGGAGCTTTAAACGTCATGGAGATATACAAAATTTTGAGGATTTTTCTGCCCTCATTGAAAACCTGCATAGACTGCAAACCATACAATTTATTATTTTATATATTGATCCACGTGACAATGACCTGTTGCCAATTAATAATGACGATAACTTCGGCAGAGCGTTGAAAATTGCAAGGCCATTGTTGCGCATCATTGTGCAACGTAAAGGTAAGTGTATATTTGAATGTGTTACATTATTTTCACATAATTCTTACGGTTTTAGATGATTTGGAGGAGTTTCCCGGTTTTGGCACAATGAAGCCACGTAACAATCTAATCAGCAGCATATTAGGTCAAACGCCAGTTAAGGCAAAGGCACCAACTATTTCAATACCGCATGATTTTCGTCAAGTATCAGCTATAATTGATGTGGATATAGTACCAGAGACACATCGTCGGGTACGATTGTTAAAACACGGAAGCGATAAGCCATTGGGTTTCTATATAAGGTATGTTGGTATGTTTTTATGAGTAATTAAGAAGCATTGATCTACAAAGCAAGAGAATTAGTTAAATTGTTCTTACATTAATGTAAATTTCATACGCCCCTTTA